CTCCAATTACGTGTCATGGGTTTGACCGGTTGCGTTCGCGCCTGACTGCCTGGTGAAGTGATGGTGACTGGTGTTATACGGAGAAGTTGGTTACTGCCTCGAAATATATCAATACACTAGTTTGCGGTGTACCTGATGCGATTATTCACTGTTACAATTTTACCTATTATATTTAACCCATTAATTGAAGATCGTGTTAGTGTTTGTTCCTTTTGACTTCGGAGCGCATTGCACTCTGACTTAGTTGCTGCGAATCCGAATTTCCCCTCGCAAATAGCCTGTGCAGCACGGTGGCATTTTCTACCGTAAGACCTACCCGTATTATCGACTGTTCAACATATGCAGGCACCAACATCCTGGCCTGTGTTTACCGCGCACAGACCATTACACTCTTTTGCTACACTACTGACTCTAGGGGATAAATGGACGATTCATCAAATTTTCCTTTTACCAATAAAAGCAGATGAGGTTCCACGTGTTGGCGAGTCGCGCATTCGCAAGTGTACTAACTTCTTTGGGTTGTTTCATGTTTGCCAGATATCCTCCGCATTTTGTACACGAAACACTGGAGTCTGAGTAATCTGTTGCTGTCCATATACTTACGAAGCTGTCAATTCCAGCTACTGTGTTGCAAGAAAGTAACTGAAATCAGGATTCGGGCATGAACACATGTTTTGCCCCCTTTTTTCGTCACATCGAAGTTAGTGATGTCCCGTTGGGTAGGACTTGTCCACAAATCCAAACTATTACGGCTTACGGTAATTAGACTCGTTTTACATTTAACATAATGGAGCGTTAGGCAATGATCTGCTACCCTCAGTCCTGCTCGGTTAGCAGAATTAATAAAACAGTGTGGAAAGTATAAGTCGTCCCAAAAGCTTTGGGTTATAGCAGACCTCACTATGCCCATAACATTAGGTAACAAGTCCGGTATCAGGTTGGAGTCATTTGGACTATCCAACGGTATGGGTTGTATCCTATGAACTGTTCCGAAAGTCACAGTGGCGCGTGCAATTGAGACAATCTACAGATGGAGCACTTTCGGTCGGGCTCTGCGCAACAGGCATTCATTCGGAGATCCTGTGCTATGGAGATAAAAACGAGCTGCTTCTAGAAAAGCGTTAAACGCCTATCGGTATCGCATTGAATGCCACAATCGCTATTGCTGATAAATCGACTCAATGCTTATTCCCGCTTTGTGCGATTAAGGTGCGTCACCTTCTTCGGCAGTTTGCCTACCGAATTCAGAGAACCAGTCGCCTGATCCCGTGCGAGTATATGTGAGCTTGTGCATGTTTGCAGAAAACTGCTTTACTCGATCTCTGGGCTTAGAGAGCACTAAGGACATGACGCAAAACGAACACCGACGCATGACGGGACCTAGCGAGACACTGCCGAACAACATATGCGGCTGTGGAGAAACGGTTCGGACCTGCATTTTATGTTCCGCATGCAGCAAATGTTATCACGTTACGTGTTCTCGTCTAAATGCAAAAGAATTTCAATAACTGGAGAATCAAACAAGCTCCTTTTGGTTCTGCCTTGATTGTTTGGCCGTCCCACGTGGTAGGCGCATAGCAATTTCTGCACGAAAACGCGATAACCTAGCGGAGATGGTCAAGGATTCTAGACCTCTTAAATGTTTCCCTTTGGATTCACCCCGATCCTGGCTCTTATCCCAAGGCTCCACTATTGAAAGTCGTGGTCCAACTTCTGGTAAGGGTAAAAGCGTAAAGCTAGGTACACCGACAACTGCAATCCTGAATCATGCATATAGCCAAGTTCCACCTAATACGGCGACTTCGATCCTAGCCCGGGCGATATTGTATGAGAACAATTCTCTGGAGCATGCTGTACGAGCACACGGGAACACACGCACCAACCTTAAAAGAATGGCTACATATGCGTTCATTGCCGCTATCCAAGAACCAGTAGCAAATTTTATTAGTACTCCTGATATGATCACATAATGTCACACCTGCGCTCATCAGTCCACCGGAAAGTCAAATCCCATTCACTCACAATTCGGTTGGTTCTAGCCGAGACCACGAGTCGCTGACGCTCGTGCGCCCCAGTGTTTCTGAATTGGGCGCAAACTCCATTAAAGATAGTGTGCTGGACGACGAAAAACATTGGTTTTCTGCTAATAGGTGTCCAAGCCAAACCTGCTATCATGGTTTGCCTTGTACGGCACCAAAACTCGACTCACTAGGAGAAACCACGGCTGCTGTGGGTGTCGATACAACCGGCAAACGAGAGTGAGGTGGTTTTTTGTCGCTCACGCGCCTCCAGACGAACTTATGCGGCGTTCGGATTTTCCCCGGTGTCCCTTGGGGCGAGCGAGCGACGGTAAACAAAACAGAACCCTGATCGTTATCACTATCTGAACGAAGAAAGCTCGATATTTATTCATGGGGTACCTGCGCTTCAAGTCTCTGATTAACCTAGAGTTTAAGCCGGAGATTGTGGCGAAGGTCGCTACCCTTGCCAGGCGCTGTCACTCGATAACGTGATCGCCAAATCGATCATAATACTACCCACATCATCAAAGCACAAAGGTGATGGATGCTGTGTTCCAATCCAAGCAGATGCTAGAAAAATTACTTGGAGTGCAGCGCCTTAAGGGCAATAAACTCACCTCAGAGCTAAGCATAGAGACGTTCAACATTAAGCCCAAGGTGATGGAAAGAGAGAGAGAGAGCAAGGTCACCGGGACCTAACAGTGACTCCAGTAAGTCCTACACCTGAAACGGACCACTGCGGGACGCAAGCAACCATTGATAGAACAGCGAACTTTCCAATACCTGCTGTAGCTGGAATTTTATAGCCTGATCATTGTACCAGCGAATATGGAGCGGCCCGAAGTTCAATGCCACCGGTCCCTACAAAACGATTAGTTGCTGACCCGTGTGAGTTCAGGAATAGTTTATACCTGACACTCGCACCCGCAGATACGCTTCCGACATTCGAGCACTTTCCTGTATGTATACAAATGCTCTTGACCTCCTCAAAAATTACCGGAGTTATAAGCTCGTCCAACCTAAGTGTTACATACCTAATATTGAAAACGGAGACCCCGTAAATAATAATAAAACTGATACGGAAACCGCTTTAGCAAGTATATCCGTCCTACGTAAAGGCCAACCTAGTAGTGAAGGTGGTGTAATTTCTTACCATCGCAGTGACCTGTATCTCCAGCATCCAGAGGACCCAGAGGTAAAAGTTGTGGACTCACTTTGGTGCCGCCTGTAGCAACATCGTTCGTGATTGTATTACGCACTAAACAAAAATGCCAATTTTGTTTCATGACTCTTCTCCAGACAACCTGAGGTCAAACGCCAACCGTACGACGAAGTGGCCACAGACGCCTAAGGTTGTTGTTGTCCCCCTCCTCCGATGTGACTCGCGCGGTGCCACCTCGACAGCGTATTCGTGCAAAGCTCTTCTGCGTGTCCTCAACCGGCTGTGCTCCTCCGTGTGTTTTCGTATATTAACCATATCGCGTTGGAACAATGGTTTTATCCGTATAAAAACCTACAAGTTAACTGGTCTCGTATAATGCCCAAACATAGAAAACGTGTCAGTAAATATAAGCTTACGTCGCTTGGCTCCCCGCGATATACGTACTATAAACTGTAGTCTACGGTAAATCCATAAGGAATGATAATAAATGGGATGTTGGTAAGAATTGGGCCACCTTCTGGTGAACACATACATGAGGTGAAAAAACCACAATATATTCTGGGAGTTGGCCGTCTGTGAAATCCCTTACAGGTACTTGTTTAGTCATAGATAATGAGTCATGTGATATGCTGCACCGAAAGTAGTGCACGGTCAACTCGGGCTTTGAACTCTACCAACATCTGAGCACAGACGAGAGATTCCGGTAGCGCATTCTACGCTTGGCAAAGGCGTACCTTAGAGAAATTCCGACGGCATTCCAAATGACTGTACTGCTCTACCAGCTTGAGTTGGTGACCTCTCAGATCACTATTGTGACTGAGTTTTAACAAATAGCCGCACGTGTGTGTGAGTTTCGAGGTGAGAAAACCCTTGTTATGGGGTTAGGTGTACAGTTATCGCACTGATACGTTGCAGCATATTGCAGGCGCAGAGTATTCGCCGCTTCCTGCAGAGTCCGTATGAGTCCTTCCATTGTTTGAAGGTGAAAGATTCCTCATTTCACGTTACGGAGACGGTTAGAGTGTCGATGCATCATCTTGTACTATGAGATCATCTGCATTGCTAACTTCTGCTGGTATGCCATTTTATCCTCACGAACAAGTTGCCTACAACAGGTACTTTGGGTGACATAAGCCGTCCAGAGCTCGGTGCTCGGAGAGAGTTTATAGATATGCCGGAGCGACTTTCGCACCGCTATACACTTGCTTGTCCTGCTTCTCACAAACCAGCCCGTTTCTCGGGAGGACCGCCTTAGATTCTGATGCTTCCGCAGCCACAGTGGTTTACTGGCTGACGAACTGTTGCCATGCGCTAGCCGGTATATCGTCTGCCAGAAACGTTCAGCGGATTGTCTCACTCAGTCGAGCTAATATGAGATAACATATAATCGTCCTCGTTGCGTTCCATGGGATTTTCTGCATAACATATAAATAAATAAATAAATAAACGTTTTATTCCTCAGCAGTGCGAGGCAAAGACCAATTGGGTTGTCTTATCAACATGTACAACGTGATCGCATAATATAGTTAATTGTTCGTCTTTTGATCAAAGGTTCCCATATGGGTTTTTGAAATGATTAGCAGTCAATAGGCCAGTCACAATTTGATGGAAAATCTTGGCGAGTGACGACGATGGTACAGAGACATCAGCTTGGAAGGCGTAGTGCATCAACGAACCAATGCGTCAAAGGAGAAAACAGAATTGGTTAAACGGATTAATAGGAGTAAGATCGTTCTCAAATATATACTCAAGAATGCAATTCTATGTAGGTAATCTTATATTATTGAAACGAATAGAGGATATGGTGACTTTCATACGTAGCCAGGACCTTTCTCATACAAATCATCTAGAGTCACCGTTTGGCTTAGTGTTGACCAGATGTTTGCAACAGTCAGGTGAATATTAATCATGCGTCTGAATTGTGCATAGGTAGTGCAGTTTCTAACACTCGATGGAAGTTTGTTCCATATTAACGCATATTTTACAGAGAAAAATTTTGAGCGGAGCTTTGTGCGAGACTTTGGTATTTTCACTGTGCGCTCGCTGTTTCTTAGTTCATAGCGCATACGAGTCTGAAACTCGAGTTGTGGCTGAGCAGTGAAGGTCAATCCGAATAGTAAGCGGTATAAAAGGCACAGATTAAGTTTGAGTCTGCGTAGCCATAGCGGCTCCAGATTTAGCGCCTCGCAACGCTCACGGTATGTCATAGTATTAGGCATGTTCAGAAACCTTTTTGTGTATGGTCGTTGAATGTTTTCTAGTGCTATAATATCCACTTTTCTCAGATTACTATGCACTATCGTACAGTACTCAAGTTTCGGCCTAACACATATTTTAAAGGCTTGAAGCCTGGAATCCCTCAAAATAAGAGTTCGACTTATATAGGCGATCACTTTTCTGGCAGAAGCCTGCAAGAATATAACATGCTCTAAAAAGTTAAATGAGGCAGAATATCTTAGACCAAGGTCTCGGACTGCGCCACACACAGGAATAGGGGTATCGTTTAATGTAAGGATGTTCAGAGAAGGGCCACAGCCGTAGTACAATAGATTACTCTTGTCCGTGGCAAAGTGCAGCTTCCAGGAGTTACTCCAGAGCTCCAATGCGGACAAGTCAGACTGAATATAGGCTAAGTTAGGACTACGTTGCCCAGGGGTGGAACAATACACAATTTTAACATCATCTGCGAAAAGGTACGGCTTTCCATACGAGATTTCGTCGAGGAGATCGTTGAAATAGATTAAGAATAAAAGCGGGCCTAGCACGCTACCTTGAATCACTCCACTAGAGATTGTAGTGGCTTCAGATGTATAGTTACCGATTTTGACTACTTGCTTTCTACCCTCGAGGTAGGAAGACAACCAGTCTAGAAGCGAATTAGTGATACCATAGGACATAAGCTTCAGCAGCAATAAATTGTGTGGGACACGGTCAAAAGCCTTTTGGATATCAAGAAATATTACGATGATAGCACTTCCGGCGTCTCTTGCTCTAGTCACATAATCAAGGTAATCTAACTGGCAGGTAGTGCACGACCTACCTTTCAAAAAACCGTGTTGATGTTTACTGAGTAGGCTCATAGAACTCAAATATTCTATTATGCGTTCTTTAACTATCCTCTCCATGATTCTGGAAATAATATATGTGTGGTGGATTGGGCGGTAATTTTTCACATCTTGCATAGATCCGCTTTTGTGCCTTGGTATTATAGTTGATTGTTTCCAGTGTATAGGATACTCCCCATTCAGCATGGAAAGTGTAAATACAATAAGCAAAAACAGGGGGATGTCTGGACCTCCATGCTTTACCAGTATTGGAGGGATGTTGTCAGGGCCTGGTGAGCATGATGGCCGAACTAATCTGAGTTGGCGACATATGTCACTAAGTGTAAATTCAACAGTTTGGAGTGTATTACTCCCTCTGTGTATCAGCTTGAGCTGAGGATCTTCTTTCGCATCAGCGCCATAAGTAGACATAAAGTAGTCATTGAAGATCGAACATATGATTGCACCGTCGGTTATGTCAGTTCCATCAGAGTTTACAATGGCGTTAATACAACTTGATTTTCTATTCTGCCTACGGTCCAAAAGTTTTGAGATGCAACCTACCACATTTGCACCCTTCAGTGCCATTACTTCCTCAGAGCATAGCACTTTGTGGTGGTCTTGGTATAACGCTGTAAGCAATCTGGTGTGGAGCATCAGCAGAGTAAAAGCGTTAGTTTTCCTAAATTTTTTCTTTATTTTAAACAGTTTAGTGGCTACCTTTTTGAGATGCCTGCAGGAGCAGCAGTCCTTTTCAACTTCTTAGCACGTTCTGGAGCCACAGCTTCAACACAAAGCTGAATGCGGTGGTAGAATTCATTACAGGCAATTTGTACATTCTGTGCTAAGAAGAATGGATCCCAATATGAAGACCTTATAAGATCCGAGAAAGTTGACCAATTCACAGAAGAGAATGGGCGATAATTTATCACTGATTCTGTCGGTTTAGAAAGAATTTGGAAAGAACAACCAACAATGTTATGATCACTACCCGGCAACTTGTCACTGATGTATGTGGACACATGCGAACATCCCATTGTTAATATTAGATCAAGTGTGTTTCCAAGCCGTGTAGGTTCTGTGACGTGCTGTACCCATCCCAGTCGATCAAGAGTAGACATAAAAGGATTGTGTTTTTGTGGTTTATTGTTAAGGGACCACGGGATTTCGGGCATATTAAAATCCCCAGCGATTATTTTGTTAGTGTATGAGAGGTCAGCAATAAGAGAGAAAGTGTCCAACAAGTCATCGGTCACGGTGAGTGTAGACGATGGGGGTCTGTAAATACAACCTACTAAGAGATTTGTTGGATTAATAGAAATTGTAATCCACACCGAATCAGGAAGTCTCTGGAGGAATGGTTCATTCAGCGGCAGAACCAAGTATTTGTCTTTGACGTAGATTATACAGCCACCACCTCTACCATAAAGACGGTCATTACGAAAGATGTTATAACCCAGTATCCTGAACAGTGTGTCAGACATCTCTGCTGAACACCATGTTTCTGTAATTAGTACTATATCAGGAGAAGAAAGGTGAAGGATATTACGCAGGAAGTGCATTTTATTTAACAGTGAACGGGAATTAATTAAAAGTAAGTGCAGTGTCTTGTTATCCATTGGGTTGTCTACAGGAATCCAGGTACAGGACCCCAACGAGGTGGTATTTGGAGAGAGTGGAGTGGGGGTGGTGGATACGGAGGACATATAATTTGCGGAATTAGTGTCATTTGGGGGTGTGGCGGGTAGAACGCCACTGGACCCCCAAAAAAGGTTGGAAGGGTGAAATACTGGGAAAATGGCGACCCACTGGGAGATTACAGTTTTCTGGCTGTTGCACCTAACCTACGTGCCAGTTAAGATTATTTACATGCTGAGGTAGTTTGAGAGGATTTTGGTTGGGCCAATTTCTCTCAACTACTTGAAGTTCCCTCGCGATTGACTCACAAGTTATGGAGCGCACAGGTCGCATATTCAAATGCTGCATGGTTGGAGATATGCCGATTGTCTGCTGGTTTTAAGTGGTGACAGCGTTTGGTGGAACGTTTAAAATAGCTGTGTTTTTATTGTACTTAGGAGCACCCGTGTAGATTCCACGTGAGGTTTTGCTACCAGTGTTCTTTGCAACAAGGCTGTTCCGCAGTTTTAAAAGTTCGCAGCTTTTAGGAGAGGAGGTTTTCAGTTTCGTACCAGAGCGTCTATGCGCCTGGTTGGTGAACGACAAAGAGTGAGTAGATATAGTCGTTTGCGCAATGGAACTTTCTTGTATGTTCGGGGACGAGTTGCGCGGTAATGCTGGACTAATGTGACACTGAATGGAGTCAGAAGCGATATTTTTTGACAGTTGCTATTTGATTTCAACCTTAGAGCTGATTCATTTATGATCAGAGTGTCATCTAGGTCAACCAGGTGGGGAAGTTCCTGAGTTTCCGTGGGTGGCGGAACATATTGGTCACATACCGTTTGTCGGAAATAGGCTTTTTTGCACTCCCTTTGTAGTACTGTTAAATCTGGTTTCAGGACCATGGATACGTAATCTTTCCTAAGGGATAGTGCGCTCCTACTACAAATGAATTTTTCAGCAAGTGTGTCATTTGAAAATTTAAAGACTACCCGACAGACCTGCTTCGGAGATTTTTTCGCAGCCTCACACAAGAGTAAGACACAAGAGTAAGACTACATGATCGCTCCGACTCAAGGGGACATCGACGCCTACCTTCTCCATCATCAGTTCTTCGTTTGTGAATATTCGATCCAGTATTGACGGCTTAACTTTTTGCAGAATCGGATGGGCGTATTGAGGTGGCCCTGCAGAGGGTACCTGGAGACAAACTCTTGTCGATTGACCCTCCAGTGTTCTCCGGGATCTGCTTGGGTTTCCAGAGCGTGGATGTTGAAATCGCCGGTAAAGCGAATGTGATTGTACTGCCTGTTTATCATCCGCCTCCGTGCGAATGCAAGATAGCAGTCCATCTCGGGCGTGGACGACGGTTCGCAGTAGTGGACCACCACCAAGCAGCCGTCATCGCCTTTCCTATGCAGACAGCACCAAATGGAGTTCTGTACCTTATTAATCGGATTCCCTTTGGGCTCACATTGGAGATCACTGCGGAAGTACCCAGCCACCCGTGCACCTTTGTTGGATCGGTCATGTCGAACAGCGGGTATACCTGGCAGTGCGATCTCGATGTCTCTTATGTCGGAGGGTAACCATGTTTCCGTTATGGCGCTCAGGTCACAGATCGGAAGTCGCATTTGGGAAAGTTTACTCAGTAAGCCTTGAGCATTAGTGTACATACAAGAAGGATACTTGTATGTCGAAAGAGATTGACTAGAAACATACGAAAGATGTGGAGTTGTACCGACCGATGACAGGCCGGCATCTAAACATTCTTAGGTGATTTGCCAAATTTTGCTATAAATACAATCTGTTTTTGGTCTTAGTTGATTACGCGGTATGTAGTCTGTCGGTAGCTTTCTCGACAGCTACTAGTTAGAGCGCACGGTTTTCCGATTTGTGCCCCTCAAATTTCGGAAAGTTGGGCCAGTCAAACCACACTGGTTTGACAAAGAGTACAACAAAATGGCCCGACGGCGACGTAGACTATGGAACAAATTCGTGTTATCTGGCTCTGATGAGGACTACAATGCGTACAAGGTACAACGAAATCGCTGCAACAAGGCGAAAACAAGCAAACGCAGAAGCTTCGAAGAGGAGCTTGCAACTGCCGCAAAAACGGCTCCCAAGAGGATCTTCGCATATGTGAAGCGGCGCCTAAGGCCTATAGCTAATATCCCAGTGTTAGAAGGCTCAGAAGGACAGCCTCTAACCTCAAGTACAGATCGTGCGTCAGCATTGGCAACGCACTTCGCCTCCGTATTCGCAAGTGACCAGGTGTCTGTAATGAGTTCGACGAGCACCGCTCCAGCCGAACTTAACAGCCTAGACTGCAATATTGAGGATGTACGCAATATTCTAGCAAATCTTGACGGGACGAAACCTGCTGGGCCAGATGGTATACACCCACTAATCCTCAAGTCATTATCGACCATAATTGCACCTTCTGTAACTGAACTGTTTAACAGGTCACTATCCACTGGTCTACTACCGGACGACTGGAAATGCTCAGTCGTAAAGCCTATCCCGAAAGGTGGTAACCCAAGCAAAGTGGATAACTACCGGCCGATCTGCCTGACGGCAGTTTTGGCAAAGACGCTCGAGAAGATCGTGAAGAAGAGCCTTCTGCAACTTCTCGAGTCGAAAAACCTGTTAACCTCCGCACAGCATGGTTTCCTGAAAGGTCGTTCGTGCATCACCAACCTACTGTTGACGAGGCACGAATGGTTACAAGCGCTGAACAAAGGTCAATCGGTTGACGTCATTTACATTGACTTCAGTAAGGCTTTTGACAAGGTTAACCATGCAGTGCTCCTTGACAGACTGAGGATGTGCGGTGTTGGTGGTTCGCTGCACAAATGGATCAGCAATTTCCTTATAGATCGAAAGTGGTGAGTCCAGGTGGACAACCATCTAACTGAGTGGTATCCATCGAGCAGCGGCGTGCCCCAAGGCACTGTACTGGGACCGATATTGTTTCTAATCCATATAAATGATGTGCCCCAGCTACTACAATCACATTGTGCTTTGTTCGCAGATGACTTGAAAGTGTGGAGAGTAATCCGCACACTCAATGATTGCGAATTTACTTCAGCAGGATCTCGACCGCCTCGCAACATGGTCTGCAGAGGTTAACCTTCCGATCAACCCTACCAAGTCGCAATTCATGAGGTTGGGTTAGTATGATCACGGCCGAACGTACACAGTGGCTGGTCAACCGTTGCATCCCGCTCCTTTCGTGCGCGACCTCGGTGTACTCTCACGCTGCGACCTAAAGTCCATTGACAACACGAATAGGCTGTACCAAAACAGCCTTCGTATGCTTTGGGCTCTCAGGCGCAGCTTTAGCACTTGGTCCGAAGAGATTGCCACTCGCCTCTTCGTCTCGATAATACGATCAATGCTGGAGTACGGCACTCCCGCATACTGTCCCATCACCCGGGGAGAAGTAAAAAAGCTTGAGCGGGTGCAGCATGTAGCCACCAGGCTGATTCCCAACTTACGAGGTATGTCATACGATGACCGATGTAAGAAACTAGGGTTATACACCCTATCTTATCGTCGGCTGAGGGTTGACCTCATCATGACGCACCGGATATTACATCTGGGTGATTACCCCATGTTGAGACAACTACTTCATCTGCGCACACCAAGCTGCACGCGAGGACACCGGTATAAACTGATCGTCCCGGATTTGAAGCGGGTCGCCCATCAACTCTGTTTCGAACGCAGAGTGGTGAATGTCTGGAACGACCTGCCTCAGCATATAGTAGAAGCCAACACAGCGTCTAAATTCAAGATGCTACTAGACCAACAATTTGCAGAGGCAAAGTACAGAGAGCGAAACGATAAATAAAAAGTTCATGTCCGAAAACGACGAATGATGCAGCTACACAGAGCAACCTCTACTCGCTGCTTCCCACCAGTTCTCAGTTCTCAGTTCTCGCTGTTGTAGTTATATTGATTTACGGGTGCTGTTGTTTCCGTGGGGACAGCGACTATGCAGTTCTCTAACTGCTGTCTCCAATCATAGTTCCGAT